AGAATTGACAACAACAATCTGCCACATAACAGCTACAGCACTTGTCATTAGAGATGGAAAGATTAGACATTTAGAGACAGAAGATGTAAAATACATAGCTGTAGTATCAAAGTATAAAAGCCAGGTGGGAAACTTTCACTTGCATATATCACCTACCAGTGGGAAAGAACAGATATTACTAACCTTGCTGATTATGAATATGTAAAAAGACTAGAGGCAAAAACAGAAAAAGGTCATGGCAGACTAGTTTGAAGATGTAGATGAAGCTGCTAAGTAAATCTTAACCTGCAAAGGTGCAAATTTAAACTGAATGCAGGATGTTCTTTCCTTTTGTTTTGCGGAAAATCTTGTCAGGTTTATATTGAAACATTACCTCTCCTATGATATATTAGATTAGCAGTCTGTGGAGGCTGGTGTAGGCTGATGTCTTCAAGAGGAAGTGGTGAAACTCAAAGAGCTTGCTTCTGTCTTACACAAATCCCTGCTGATTCCGTCAAGCAGAGGAAGTTGTTGGATCTCTGGCTGACTCTGAACTGAGCAAATTGTAGCTTCTAGCTCCTATCTTTTAACATTTCTGGGCGCAACCTTAAGAATGCTATCCTGGATAGGGAATGAGCAGACTGCTTAGCTGAATCTGGACAGCCTTCAGCCTTATAAACATCATTACAGGATGGAACCAGACAGGGAACCAGACTACAGTCCGAACTGAATATCCCTTTGGGACTAATAAAGTATTATTGAATTGAAAAGTGACACAAATGTAGTCAGCGGCTAAAGATCTCCACCATAAAACTTTATGAAGGTGGATATATTTACAGTGTACACCTGAAGAAATCATGCATTTTGTCACAATCCATAGGATAGGCTTCCTATACAGTTGTAATTGAAAGCTTACATACCTTTCCATTAAAGACTGAAAAAAAAAACAGCAACCAGTAAAACAAACAGACATTGACCAAGGTAATAATGAATAATAAAAATTATAAAAATTGAAACTCATGAAATTGATTTTGTGTATATATTGATAAAATAAAGTAAAAAAGCTTGATGGAGCTTCTGAACAATTTTTTTTAGAGCACCACTAAAATAAGGTTATTTCTGTAATGTTCAGGAAATGTTCAGTCAGACTTCTTAACATGTTGACAGGTATGTTGGTTCACTGTTCATGAGCAATGTACTTCAATTTGTCTGGGACTTTTTTATCTTTAGAATAATTTCTGCAATTTCTGCCAGCATTATTACAGCACTTATTGTGGCAACCGCTGATGCACTTCCGCTTTAACTTAAGTGCTCTTATCAATTTGCACTATTGGGAATCAGCCTACACCTCAGCTCTGCTCCCAAACTCTCATTGTTGATAAAGGTTGAATTCAGTTCTGCTCTCCTTCTCCAGTGCTATACATGGATTCATCCTCATGATGTGTCCCACATTATAAGGGATGACAGCTTTAGTTTCAGTCTTTTGTATCTCTTGTAAAAACCATAAAAGAGACCATACTGCTCTGTTGTAACTTTTCTCTGTACATGTTGGACTGATAACATAAGAAAGTATCTTAGCCAGGTGCACTTCTGTCACATTCCAAGCTTCTAGCATGATTCTAGTCATATTTGTAGAATTACTTAAAATGTTCTGGTTTTCTGCCACCACCTGAAAGTTTTGAGCTTTAATTAAAAATCATTTGCATGTTGATAGATGCATGTGTTTCCTCCAACCATTTGACACAGGTCTCACTGCACTCATTAATTCAAAGGAAGCTGGACCAAACTGTAAACAGGAACTCAGGAACCACAAAAACCACATGGACTGGATGTTTTTTTGTTTTGTTTTTTTAAGTTAAAAAAACAGATAGCCAAACCGCTATTTTTGCTATATTTATTCTAGGAAAAAAATATTGTTATTATTAATCAGCCAATTGAGATATGAAATATCAAGATTCTAATATTGTACATTCGTTAACAAAACCATAACTAAACTAGAGAAAAATGCTGGGGAAAAAAATTGAATAAACGAAACCATGCAGAAATTAATATACCGTAAGATAAATTAGATACATCTGACTATATAATAAATGAGACAACATGGAAAAACACAAAATGTAATACAATTATTTCAGTTAATCAATATGGTAAGACCCAAATACCCAAAAAACAGGCTCAGGTTAATACAAAACAAATTCCTAATGTAAACAACTAAAACCAAAAATGGAAAAAACTCCAAACAGAAATGATAACCCCTAAAACTAAACAGAATAAAATGTAAAGATCACAATAAACATAGAGAGGAAACTCAAAAAAAAAAAAAATAAAGTAAATAAAAATCTCAAATGACCCAAAATCATAACAGAAAACCAAAATTAACAAGGGCAACCATTGGGGGGACAGATCAGGGAACTGGCAGGTAGCTCATGTAGAGTAAAATCACAGAAGCAACAGTGTTACAATGATAACAAAATTATTAAACATATTTTTCAAGTGCTGAAGATGATGCAACCAAGCATAGAAATATTCCTCTAGAGTATTCATGGTGAAGGCAGCATTGTCCTGAAAGAGTTGGATTGCTCCAACTATACTGGTGCTTTGATGCGGTAGTGAAGTGTGGTCTGAATTCTTTAATCTCATTTGGCATCATCTACTGTAGGGGGATTTACCCACATATTCATGAAACTTGTTTTATATCTCAATAACATCTAAAACACATCCGGTTTCTGCTGTAAAATTCAGGTGCACTTTAACCAGAAAAGTGGGGCAGTTTATGTTATATTTAACTCTATAAAAAAAAGGAAAAACAACCTGTGTGGAAAAAAAAAAACACAGAGATCAGAGAATCTGAAACCAGACATGTTACATCTGAACTAGTGAACTGCTTACTCTCCTGAAAGCACCTCCAGATATGAACAAGTTTCCACCGTTTCCTTACATAATGTGCAAACCAGAACATTTGCTACTGAGGTGTTTTTTTGTTAGTTTTTTTCAAAGCAGGCAAAGTTTAATCACTTTTCCGTTAATGTCTGTGATGGGTATTCATCCTGTTTATCAGTTAAAGCTATAAAGCACTTTCTGAGCTTTCTGAAACAGTTCCTTTTTTTCTGTTTCCTGCCATGATGTTTGTGACACATTTAAGAAAATCTGCTGCAGGTGCATTATGAAAAGTTTCCACATCTTATGTGATGCTCAAAAGTGAGTAAAACTATTTTTGAACAGCTTCAAAGTGAGTAGAGTTCATTTCAAAAAAGAAAAAAAAAAGCTTTGGTCGTTGGATGTTCTTGATGTAAAAAGTGCTTAGGCTGCATTTCTCGGAACAGTGGTCCCTGTTTCCTTTTGCTGCAGTTTGTGATACAGTTTGGTTTCCACCTCAACTTGGACCATTCGCAAGCTGACACAGAACACCAGCCGTGTTTTTGCCCTGCTCATCACTGACATTTCGCCTACAAGCAAACAGGAAGACACGTTTCACACTTCGCTGTCCTGCTTAGCATCTTGTGAGGAGAGTAAGATAGAGCCTCTGACCACAAGCCTGCCGTCTAAGTAAACATCCACCTTAGCCACAGGTTTCAAGCATTTTTTTTTTCAACAAAGCTTTTTGTGTTGAATAATACTCTCATTTACCTTTCCGTTATCTTTAACTTGACAAGTTTTGTTTGAACAGCTTAAAGATTTTAACACTTGAAGACCCACTATTTGCTTAAGGAAGACATGCACTTGCTTTGGTCGGCAGTGATAATGACATTTTATTCTTTTACTTCTTGTGTGGCTTAATTGCGATCTTTAACATCATCAGCAGGAGCAAATCATCTGTTTGCCATTTTAGCTCATATCTGTTAACAAAAAAAAAATAAAACGTTCAACATGAAATTGTAGTCTGGCATGTAGGTAGTTGTTCCTGCAACTTATTAGGCTTTGTACCTATAAAGGTGCGCAGAATGACTGTACACATACTATTTCTGCTAACTCTCTCCACGCTTATGGTAAAACGGACGGTTTTTGTCTCTACAGTCACTGATTGTCGTGTTGTGGGGTAGAATGGTGTTGGCGGTTTTAGTGTACAAGCAGACCACTGTGTGGTAAAAGCTCAAAAGATAGAAGCTAGCTTATAAATCAAACCAATACCATTAAAACTAGCACGGTATTCTTTCCCTTTTAACATTTTCAACATGTTAACACGTTAGAACCACAATCATTGTTTTTTTGATGTGGCAAATATTTAAACTGATATGGAAAGAGGCTGTGTGGCTTGGTTACAGTATTCATACTGCAAGCACTTTAATTAAATATGGCTGACCTGAGCAGGTTAGAAGCTTTTATCTCACTCTAATTAGAAGTAAACTAAAGGGATTTACAGATTTTCTGTTTTTTTAGAAGGTTGGTCTTTGAATAGTTAAGTTAAACTGAATTATGTGATTAAATGACACCTTTATTCCTTTTAAAATCTTGATAAAAGAGAATCTCAGTGCTACTGAGGTACCAAGACCTCCTAATATCAAGGGAACCATAAAAATATCACTATACTGAATGATTTTAGACTGATTATGGATTCATCAAAGACATTTAGACATTTTTATTTAATAAAGAAACTATTCAGTGTTTTTTTCTTATCTTCTTGCCTTTTGAGCCCAAAATGTGTTTTGAACTCAAGCCACACAAGGAGGAATAAAAGAATGCTTCCTGCACAGCAAGCATTTAATTTTCTTTATCTGTGAGAAAGAAAAAACAAAACCTTGTATTATTTTCCTTCCATGTTCCAGTTATGAGCTAGTTTCTTATGCTGCAGGATAAGAACATAAGTTTGCAGTATGGCTTGGTTGCAATGTTACAAAATCTGAACCACAAGAGGTTTTTGCCATTGTTATATGTATATATATATATATATATA